TCAAAAGGCGACCTGTCCTGCTGGACCGACCCTTCACCGCTGTGTCGTAAAAACGAGCCGGGTGAGGATACCGGGGAAAGAACAAGGTCACACAGGAAAATTGCAATTAAATCTTACGGCGCTCAGTCACTAATTAAGCTAGCAGGACGAATGATACACTAAAAGAAAGGTAATCTAAAAGCCTACCTTATCGTCTAAGAATGGTGTCGATATTCCCACTTAGACCGGAGATAAGGGCAAGATTAATCCAGAAGTATGGCACTTTTATGTCGCACAATAAAAACACTGTAATAAATCGCACAAACACTTCACAATCACAGCACTGGTATCAATGAAGAGATCATATCTTCCACTTTCCAATGGTACTAGGATTGAAATTGGATGCCTGTAGGTGCCAGAGAAATCTTAATAGATGTAAACACCACAAAACGGCACTTCACGGGGTCACGGTAACCCTCAGCAGATATCACGAGATCGCGATACGAACAATGACTTCTGCTTTAAAGACTTAATTAATCCACCACTAATAAACGGAATCGCTCCAGATGTATATCAAATTGCTCAGCTTTTGAAGAACTTTAAATTGATATAACTCTTGTGTAAACTATATCAAAACTAACTTAAAATAATAAGGCGAAAAGCGAGCTCGCGGAAACACGTCGTACAGCGTTGACGGGGTAACGGCGGCTTTTAGTAGTAAGTTCATACAGTAAGTCTACCAAGTAAGTAATATCAATAGACACTAGGAAAGTTCTTTTTATGTTTGTACCATAAGGTTTCTCCATACTTCTTAGCATGCCTTCGTGGTGTAATGGTTAGCACACTCGGAGCGTATTCGAGAGGTGCGAGGTTCGAGTCCCGGCGGGGGCATTGCTCATTTTTCATGTTTTCTGTTCCAAAGTAAACCAAATGTCTCTAAAGTGGCGCCCGACCTAAAACGATGGTGGACGATTATTTTCCACCACCAGGATTTGGCGATTGGGTCCCCTAATCTTCAGTCGCCCTTTAAAAGGGGGAATATATAAGGTATTTCTCTTGCCTTCTTAGCATGACTTCGTGGTCAGCACATGCCAGTGGTCAGCACGCTACGCGCCTATTCGAGAAGTCCGTGATTCGAGTCCCGGTGAGGGCATTGCTCACTTTTCATGTTCTTCTAAATAACCTAATTTCTCTACAGTACATTTTGTATTTATCCATTTTTTAGTATCTTTGGCACTATATTTTCATTTTTGCAGTTTTGTATTGCAACTTATGCATTTCTAAGATTTCACAGCTCACTTATTTCATTCGTATTTCACATTTCTAGTTCACAATTATACACAGAAGTTCCTCTCAGAGTGTTCTCTCCACTTTCCATCACAGTCTACTCCAGACTGCTCATTTCCTATGGTCTGCATCCCCCTTGTCTTTATTTTCTTTTTATACTCATCCTGATCCAGCACATTCATGTGCCACTTCTTGGCTTTACCTCACTGACTTTGCAAGAGCCCTTCCAAAGGGCTGAATGCAAGGAATCTACTCACGTGTCAACGTGCCAAAGCACTGGGAAAGACCATTTTCTCAGTAATTTCTCTTTCCATAGATATATGGGGAAATTCTTTTTGTGCTTGTACATATTGCATACATGCATTTTAGATTATATTTTCATTTTTGCAATTTTGTATAGAGACTTCTGCATTTTTAACATTTGATCCCTCGTCTGCTTCATTCGGATTTCATATATCTACTTCACATCATTTGTACACACGCGCCCCTCTCACATTTTTCTCTCCAACCTCCATTACAGACTACTTCCTCCTCCCTCATTTTTCTGTCATCTGCATCATCCTTGTCTTCATTTTCCTTTTATACTCATCCTGATCCAGCATCGTCATGTGGCACTTCCTGGTTTTATTTCATTGACCTTACAAGGAGCCCTTTTGTAAGAATAAGAAATCTTTTCTGGTATCAATGTACTAACCAACTCACTGGGAAAGATATTTTCTCTTTCCATAGCTATATATAAAGATAATTCAGTACCGTATTTTCCGGCATATAGCACCGACTTTTAATGCCAGAAATAAGATAGAAGTTTAGGGGTGCACGTTTTACGGCAGACATAAAAATGATAGGTTAAAAAATAAGGATATGATAAGTATACAAAAATTAGATTCCTACATATTCCTAAATGCTGTTTATTTAAAAAAAATGATATACCTTATGAAACTTAAAAATTTTCATTATCGGATAACAAGAAAAGTTCGTCCTATTTGTCTTCCGTTTCATCTCCAGGCACATCATCGAATTCAGTTTCATCTTTGCCCGTTGCTGTTACCCTGATCCATAAATAAATAAACATCTTCCATTTCTTATATGTTGTTAAATATACTATATTTTTAAATTACTTTTGAATTATTTCGGGCTTAATTTTCCTTCCATGATTTTATTATCGACTCACATAATATTTCTAGACTAGCATGACGAAGTACCTCCTTTTGTAAATGTTTTTCATTTTCTAACATCCACGCATTCCACTGTCATTTTCAATTTACTTTGAATGCTTTATTGATACACACATCTAAAGACTGAATAATTGCATGGAATAATCGCCATGTCTGTATTGCACCCATTCAACAATTTCTTTGCATTTTCCTCTAGATTGGATTTGAGCAAGTCCCAAACTTTAAGACTTTCTGGATTCGCTAAGACAACAGAAAGTTTTTGCAAATATTTCTTATACCCAGTTTCACATCATTTTCGGCTTTCACTTTTTTTCCTTGAAGATGAACGAAAACACCATTTGGGAAATTACATTTCGGCATAACCTCTCTCCTAAAAATAACCATGGGATTTAATTTTAATATCGTCCGGTAAGTACTAGGAAATCACTACAATGAGGTGAGATATTTCGTGACTTGTTGTTTTTATGCGAGCCGTTTTTGTTCCTTTCATGTCAATTGTTTTATTTCCTATCATCTCAAACATTACTGGTGTTTCATCCATATTTGAAATAAGCGACATTTTGCCTTCATAGGTCAATAACGTATTTCTGGAAACTTATCAATTTGTTGTCCAAATCTTTGGGAAGCCTTTGCGAAACTTTTTCTCCTAGTATAACTAAATTATTCCACGCCATTAATTGTTGCTTTAAAGTTATAACGTCTACTTCTCTTAGGAAGCATACACTATAGACTTTAAAAAGACTATTGAAGAATTATATTCTAGCCTTTTGAAACAAACAAAATCAGAAGAAGGGTGTACAAGACGCTTTTATTCGAACACAAAATTAACAATTACCCAATCTGGATTTACACTAGCCAAGCACTTCTGGCTTAACAGAAATGCATAACGCCGAAAAAATTCAAAATGCCTAACGGTTCACAGAATAATTTGACGCGCTGGAAAGGCTCTGGTTTTTAGAAAACCGGGGAGACAAAGCTAAATGGCTAGAAGCAATCAACGCCACATAATCAAATCGCTAATAATCACGGCACAACGCGGCCTGGAATAGACAGTCACGCTCTAAAAACTAACTTCTGAAACACTTGCTTAAATAGCACTTCTTTCTACCTAAATCTGAATAAACGCTCTCTATCTCATTTACATTTTGGCATGAGGGAAGAGTGGGTGAAAAAAAAAGTGACAGGAAAATACTAAAACTCAAAATTAACTATTAGTTAAAAATAAATAGATAAACCTCACAAAGTTTTCGCTTTCTTTTACATTCCTTTTGGCTCACTTTATTGAAAATAAACGTACACTGTTTCTTATTACAATTAATCCAATTCTGACGATTTCCTACGACTCATTTCGAAACATTTTCCTCTGGGATAGGCCCTTTTGTTATTCCATTTTCGCAAAGCACATTTATTCTTTGGCATATTAACTACCGTGATTTCATTTTACTTCCACTCATGTACGGAGCTTTCACCAACACCAAACATCCTTGCTGCAGCTTCCATTTTCGTTCGCAAATTGAATGACTCTGCATTTGAAACCAGCACTGTCTTTGTTTCGTTTGGCAAGAACCATATTTACTAATAAAAGAAATGGCATACCTTATGAACTTAAGAATTTTCGTCATCGGGTAACATGAAAAGTTTGTCATATCTGTTTTCTGTTATATCTTCAGGCAGATCATCGAATCCAGTTTCATCTTCACTGTCACTGATACTCTGATCCATAAATAAATAATCATCTTACGTTCCATCTAGATTGTTAGAATACGACATTCTTTAAATGATTTTTGAATTTTGTCGGGTTTAATCAGATCAACTTTATTTCAACAGAAATACAGCTGATCTAGGGAACTGGATCAACCATATTCCAACTAAAGCAAATATGATTTATTCAAGCCTCCGATGTTGCCTTCACAATCACGGCTTCAAATCGAAAATCAAAGAAAATAGCTGATTCTTAATGACACCTAATTCCGCGAGCTCATTCAGATCGGAAGTGCATTCTTACCCCAAATTTTTACGCCCTTTCTCCTCCCGAAACCCTAGAATAACTTTCTTGTGCACACCTGCATTGAATACAACTCACCTTCTTTTCATAATTTCAAGCATTTCTCGAAACACACATATTGGTCCCCTTATCATTTGTCTGTTCAGTATATCATTGCTCGAAATCCTAGGAAAAATCGTTGAAAGAATGACTTCAAAAGATAAACGCATCGCACATGTATCTTTCAGGTTTCTTCGTAAAGAAAAGGGTGCCCGTTATATGGCGAATATACCGAAAAATTTAAAAATATAGAGTGAAATTATAGCTTTGCGTTATACGCTACAATATGCGGTAAATAAAATTGCTATCATGAGACCAATCGCATTCATAATTTGAAGATGTATTTATGTATAATATCTGAACAAAATCTGCTGCTCAATTTTTAGCGCCAATGCATATCTTAAATTGGCTTGCAATGTATAAAAGCTGATAATTAAGGCAGATGAAATTTTAGTTATCAAAAGCTCATAAATCAAGAGACAACGCCGGGTAATATTAATAAAATAAACACTTACTTGAAGAGGAAGAATAGGTAATTTGAGCTTGAAGGTAAAGTTCATCCACCTTTTGCCAGTAGAAACCAGCTCTATCTCCATCCATATAAAAGTAAAAATGTAAACAGTTAAACGGTGTCTGTGGCATTTTGTAATTTGGACTGGTAAGCGTAGATGTTTGTAATCCGGACTGGAAGTTAGTGCTCCACGATGATCCACTTACTCCAATAAACCAGTAACCTCCTTTAAAAAAGCAAGTAAGTTGAAAATTTCAATTAGTTTAGAGTGTCATTTTATGACCTTACATTATCTGCTCAAATCGAAAGTTTAGACATACTCACTTCTTTGATAGAGATTGCTCGTACTAGTTATAAGAATCTTTATCCGTCTTAAATTTAGAGGTAATATTTTTCACTGCGATTTTGCAATAATATTATGCAAATTAATATTATTTCCCTAATTAAATTAATACCTTTTCCCTACAATTCTCTAATATTATTTTCCTAATTTATTTAATACATTTCCCTAGTTTCCCTAATACATTTCTCTAATATTATTTTCCTAATTTCATTAATATAATCCCCCATTTCCCTAATTTTCCCAATATTATTTCTCTAATATAATTTACCTTATTTCCCTGATATTATTTCCCGACTACTTAAATTAGTATTATGTATTGTTAAGAAGGAAAGCTTCGCAGCAGCAGGAGTGGCTCCCTCCAAACGAAAAAGGACACAACTGCGCATGCGTGAAATATCTATCGCCAAAAAGCCCCAAAGCTCGAAGCTGATGTCGAAGTTCGAACAGGTTCGACGGTCACGATTATCAAGAGTTTAAAGCTATGTGACTCCATTTTTTTCCCTACATATTGACACATATAAAATCAGACATCAAACTGCGATATGGATAATACAAGTTCAACTAGTAAAGCAAGAAAGCACGAAAATTCGAGTTTAAATTATTGCGAAAAGTCAAAGAAGTATTCATCTTAACCCGTGTTCCTCAATTTCCTGTACACGTGGCGGAGATTGAAAATCTCGGCCAGGTACATCACAAAAGGAGAAATTCTCGCCAACAGGCTCCGTCGCCAAATCCCTTGGCGAATTGTCCCTCTTCTTTCTAGCGGCGTAGAAGACAAACTGCTTTACATTACGTCTATGGAGCATTTCCTGGTACTTTTCCGTTTCGCCGGCGCAAATCTCGCCAAGCAGTCTTTATTGGCGACAACATACAGTATACACATAAAAAATATTTAAAAAATGTTAGTTCTAAGAATTTTTTATTTTGAAGGCATAAACATTTTAATATCGCTTAAAATTTTATAAAAAGCCAATAAATAAAGACAATAAATTTGTAAAAAGACATTAATTTAAGAATTTACTATGCTTTCATGGTTCAACATCCTGATTCGCCGGTTCCTATTACGTGACCCCAAGCGATCTCATCTCATGTAAACTACAAAAATCTAATGCTCTCAGTAATTATCTACATTAATTTCAAGTTAAATCTTAATTTGGAACACAAGTTTAAATGCAACAAATATTTCAATTCGTACGAATAGCTTACTCAGAAATTATGTAAAACTGCAGTGCTTTACTTCGCTAATGCATTCTCATTAGAATGGATGAATTTAAGCCTTGACTTTACCTTTTCTATATTTTCGGCTTCGGGTAAGCGCTGTGATTGCATCCTAATTGACTTAATTACCGAAAATGGCCTTGGACATAAAACTGTACTATCTGATAAAAATCCTATGTAATATGCCAGTATTGAAAGAAACAATCAATCTGATAAGAAAAAGCTGCGACTTGTTTCTAAAATGAGACGTAAAAGGTTACCAGCGAGAATATTCCGTTTGGAATCGGTGTACCATTATTGGCGACTTTATCGCTTGCGCCGGCATAACGGAAAAGTACCCCTTTCCTTCTTTACATAGACTTTCTTTGTCTGTTCCGCTGAATAGAGATCAGTTCCGCTTCAGGAGGAATCATTTCCGCTTAGTGCGTATGCACTAGGAGGAGACATCCGTACTGCACAAGGAAGTTAGAATAGATGGATTTAGCTTGACGTCACAAAAGCTCAGCAACGTTACGCCAAGACTTATCATGGCCGCCATAAAGCGTATGGGTAAGACTACGAAACATATTGTTAAATTGAATTACACTGAATTCGTAATTTGAAAGCAAATATCAACTATATCGCAGGCTCAGAATGTGTCTTTAGGCATAATTTGTATATAAGTGAAACTTCCACTGATTTTCCAAGTATAGATTTGTGTTACAATCAGCATTTACACGTTTTCATGTACCTAGATTTTATTAATTTTGAAAGAATTATTTTCAATCCTTGTAATTTTTCTATACACTAAGCAGAAAATCTTTTACGTTAAGTACGAAAACTAGAACGGGTGACTTCTAAACTTTCATTGATGAACAGCTAACATGTAGACAACGCCGATTAGAATCTAAACAAAACTTACTAGAAGTCCGCTAATAGCAGCGGCCATGATGAGTCGCGACGTCATAATGTGACGTTTCATTGCACGGAACATACTTTGATACTTTGTTGGTTATTCAAGCATGAAGCGGGAGATGCACTACTCCTGCTCTTTCCAGATTCCTGGCTGAGTTCCAGCTCTTTTCCAGCTGCAGAAGCGCAGGTAGGTGGGGAAAGTTGGCCTGAAACAGGTGGTAAGGTTTGTCGAATCCGAAACGTGGTGCGGAATACACGCTGGAGGCTTACTCCATTTATCCTAACCTCCTTGGTCCTGCAGAATTGAGATTCTTTGTGCGTTTACGCTAGGAAGAGAAAATCAGTTCTGCAATATCGAGATTCTTAGCGAACATGCGCTCAAAGGAGAAATCAGAACTTGACGTCAGCTCGATGTTGAAGAAATGTTGAGTGGAAGGTAAAACCCCACAAAGTAAATCTTAAATAATCTTATTTTGTGCACGAATTGTTAAGTTTTCAAATTATCTAAAAATATATTCATAGCAGTAATATTGTTCTTCTACACAAACAATGCAAAACCTCCTGAAGCTCTGTTTGTAATTTACTTAACGTAAGATTTAACTAGCATTTCTCTTCTAACATGAGTACGAGCAAATACCCCTTAAAATGTCTCTTTACAAAAGCACTCCTCCCCCTAAAGAGATACCCTCGTATACTTTGCTGTAATGAAATAATCTAACCTAACTTCGACTCTAACTAATGCCTGCTAGAAAAGGAAATAGTAATTTTATTAAGGAAAAAAAAAAGTTGAGAGGCTGAAAACTTTCTGGCGATTTCATTTCCGCAAAGCAAGGATAGACGATAGAGAATTGTTTGTTGTTACAGCTGAAGACATCTCCATTTTTGCTAGTCGCAGTCTAAGCATATTAAGATTGAGAGACCTAGCACAGGAAGTGGAAGCTTCGTAAAAAATATTTTTAGAGGATAGAGTAGACTTTAAGGTATCCCTTGTATTACGGCGAAGTTGTTGTTTCATTTATGGTAGCCTGAGTAGTTCAATGTTATGGAAACCCTATTGTGACGTAATCGGGTGCATGATTCTGGGAAATTTTGAATCATGGGATGTATTGTAAGCGTTTTTGTGGTGTGTGTTGGTTTGATTCTTTAGACGGTAGAATGGCCGAGTGTACTAAGATTAATTTGAAGTTTCTGTACGATTTGGAGTGAAAGGGGAAAAGAGCTTTAATTGACTGGTGTGTAAATGAAGGTTTACTTAGTAGCCATTATAAGTGTCCTGTATGTAGGAAGGATATGCGTCTAGACGAACGTAAAAACTGTTTAGATGGATTTGAATGGGTTTGTAGGAAGAAAGCTTCAGATGGTCACTATGTGAAGCGTTTGATCAGAAAGAGTACATGGTTTGAAAAACGTCATTTGAGTATGATTGCTATTTTCATTTTTACGTGGATCTGGGTGTACGAAGCGATTTCGAAAATCATGGTAAGTGAATATTTGCTTTCGGTGGTGCTTAAATGTATAACATGTTTTTCCTTTTTTATGTTATTTTATTGTTTGGTTTAAAATGTATTTTATTGAGATTATGTAGTTTTTTGTTTGCCTATATTGTAGAATTGGGTGCTCTTTTGAAAATATATCGATGTGTACATCGCAAGCCAAAAAAAACGAGTCAAAGAATTGCACAAAATCGGTATCTATGCACCGCCAAAAATCGCCAAGTTTCGCCAAAGGGTACCCTAAACTATACTTTTATCTTTTTGGAATTTCTATCCATACATTGACAATTTCTATAGTTTGCAATAGTTATTATGTAGACTCTTATCTAGTAAGCAGATGAAAACTATCGAGAGGGGACCTTCATTGTATGTAAGTTAGTATTTTGAACTCTTGGAATTTACCCGGTCTTTCCTTTTCATTGGCCTCTGAAAATGCAACTAGTTTGTAACCAGCTTTCTGTGTTTATTCTGTCTATGTCAACATTTTACGTAACTTCCGTTTTTATAGTAGAGTTGAACTTCGATAAGCTTCTCCAGTTACATATAAATAATTTATTTTTCTGACTTGTTTAATTTAAATCAAAATTCTGTAAAATATTAATAGGTATATGTTTATAATTTACTAACCTAATCTACCAAGAGTTAAATTTTGCTTAAAGTTTTCATTTCTTGATAATGATAGAGAGAACATCAGTGATCAAAATTCTGAACTTTTTTTTATTTAGTTCGAAGTTTGATTTGATGACTAAGATTGTTGCATTTATGTTTAAATTTACTAATAAAATACTATTTTAATATGCCCCTTTCCTTTTTGCCTTTTCTCTCTCATTCCAAAATTTATGTAGATTTCAGTAGCAAGAAGTTTTTATATCAAGTTGAGAGGTTTAGAAATAAGAGTGTGAATGTTTGATTTGCTATCATCTGCCTTGCAAAATCTAATAATGTCTACTGACGACGCTAATGTTAGTCTATCTGTGAACACCGCAGATTAAGCTTTAAATCCTGTTTTGTAAGCCTTTATTTGAAAATTCTATCTCGGTCTAGGTAATCTTCTTGACTCTAATGTTAATCTATCTGTGAACGCCGCAGATTAAGCTTAAATCCTGTTTTGTAAACCTTTATTTGAAAATTCTATCTCGGTCTAGGTAATCTTCTAGACTCTAATGTTATTCTATTTGTGAATGCCGCAGATTAAGCTTAAACCCTGTTTTGTAAGCCTTTATTTGAAAATTCTATCTCGGTCTAGGTAATCTTCTTGACTCTAGGCATTTTAAATTAATTTGTTGCATTTGTATCTTTTCTGAAAGGTAACTTTGATTTCTAAACCAAGTCCATTTTTAAGCACTCGCAAGTGGTGAGGCTCAATAAAAAGTGTTTTAATTTTGTATCTGTTTGTTTGACGGTTAGATATTCTGGAGGGGATAATTCACCTTACTGAATGTATGGAAACATCTTATTGAAACTATATTTCTGTAAGTAAATTATTTAGAATCCACAACAGAGATTACAACATTATGTGCATCCTGAGGATGAATTAGTTTGTTTGTGGTATCAGGTTCAATGTTCCGTCTTACTTTCTTCGGGAACATGCAAGGACCTGACTCGGAACAGAGAGCTTACTAAAGCTATGTTCAATCACTGTGGGAAGTAGACAGGATACACAAGAAGGGTATACAAAACCCTTTATTTTTCTCTATTTACAATAACTTCCGTACTTCGGAATACACAGACCCACTACCTGGGGTCTAAACGTAAAAATATAAAAAATAAAACTAAACTCTAATTTAACTTTAAAATGATAAACGTGGAAGATTGGCCCTATATTAACAGGAAGCCGTATGTAGTACAGAGAGCTGTGAACACTACAATACGCTTAAAAATTATCAAGAGGATTAAAACCTCTGGCCTGGAAGGCAACCAGCAACTGAGTAAAACTTCTAAGGTAAGCGGCCTGCTTCGACTCACTGCTTCCTCTCTCTCGCTTGGCAAAAAGCCACAACTTAAATACTTGGCGTTCGCCAGACAAACTTTGCATAAATACTTTAACGCTTATAATTCTGGCCGGAAGTAGAAAATAAGAAGTGATAGTAAAGATTTAAAATAAAATAAACGTTAGTAAAACTTAAGATCCTTACAGTGGCATCATCTCCTCCGGAACGGAGAGCAGTTCAATTTCGAGAGAAGTACCCCTCGATTCCAAAAATTCGTGGGAAGCCATTTCGACCATTTTGATCTTCGTACCACTTTAATCAGTCGAGATATTAATTAAAAACTCTAAAAGTATTAATTTTCACACTCATTCTTTCGAGTGGCAATAGTTTCGGGAGTCGTTGGAGATAAAAATGCTTTGTTTCGGAAGGTTTTGCCACCGTTCGCGTTCAAATCGTAGACTTTTTTAGTAAAAAATTTTGAAGCTTTACAAAATATGAAATAAAAATAGCATTGCCAAACATTAAATGTGTTATGATTATATAATATCATATTCTGCCGTCAAAGAAAGCCTCGATTGCATGTGATGTCACTGTAAATCGAAAATAATGAGATACATTCCGCAAGAGAAGAAGAGGAAGAATGACCTTGCTTGTTTGCATTAGCTGTACATAAGCCACGTGATCTCTGAGGTCATCTGCATTGTTTGTTTACAAAAGGTATACATAAGTCACGTGATCAATGAGGTCATCGGAATGTATCTCATTCATTAATGTCAGCATTTTAAATTAATAGTTGCTGTTGGCAACTTTTTTGTTTCAGGTTAGGATAAGTGACACGATATGTTTTTGCCACGTTCTTTTAGTGATACTGAGAAAAAGTTTTCATATTACATTAAATTTAAATCATGACGTTATGCGTGTACCTATTAACTTGAAGTGTCAAAAGTTCTTGTTCCCTGATTTGGCAGCAAAGGAATTATTTACGAATTGGTTATTGACCGCTAGTATTGATATAAAACTAATGTGAGATTGTTATAGAACAAATAAAACAAACAAAAGATTTTACAGGCACATATACTTTATTTTATTTTATTTTATTCCTACATTTATTCATTCAAAATCACCCGAGATAAAGCTAGTCGATGATTTGAGAAATAAGATGAATAGCTCAAGATGTCTTTATTGATCAATGAAGAGTTTACTGCAGATCCAGATATCCTTATAATTATAAAGGGAAATTTCAATGTAAACTTCAAACGAAATCAAAAGACATTTGATTTTCTGAAACATCATTTTAATATCAATATGGAGCCAAATAACAACCAAGTACACTTGACAGTTAACTTATTGATTTAACATTTACTAGGAATATAACTGCAGACATCTTAAATCTAAAATCGTTTCTGAAATCATCTGAAATATTGACGCTGAAAATATCCACAAGTAGCAGTTCCAGATTGACAGGTGTCAATGTGTTGTTACACGAAGTTCATGCTCCTTTCTCCACAGCAAAGTGATTACAGAGTGTTAATGATTTTGATTGAATTTTCTCATAGTACCGTCTATTAAGTTATTTTCGAGAACATTTCTTGCGTTCAGTTTTTTTTTTTTTTTTTTTTTTTTTTTTTTTTTTGCACATTGTCTTTTTGTTTACTTTGTTCTGTTTCTCTTTGCCTCAAACGCTTTGTTTTTCCTTTTTTGGACTGATTATTAAGTATTTTCGGCTAAATAAAATAAAATACATCAAATACCATTCGAACACACTGACTGTCTACCAGACGACCTTGCTACTTACACGCAGTCGCGCATGCGCACGGAGTTATGACATCCCCAAAATTTCATTACATTTGACTCATTGCTATAAGTATATCGTTTTTCAAATTTTTAAAAATTATTTTGTATTTACTAATGTGCTCTTTCATCTATCTGATCATGTATTTAGATTGATTGTAACATTTGTAGTTTCGAAGCTATAAGTATTTGAGCAAACCTCAAATGGCGAGGTAATATTTGCTTTCTCATCAGGTGTTATAGAGGAATGTAGTCCTACGTTAAAAATGAAATTTCTTTTACTTTTAAATTATCACTTGGTTGAACTTACCCGATGATGTTCCTAATGTATGGTCGGCGTTTGGTAAAACGTTCAATGAGCTCGTCCTCCGTCCTTCAGCTTTCCATTCCCAGTTCATGGACCCCCAAGTTTTCCTCGAAGAGGTATAACCACAGTTATAATCATCGAAGCTGCAAAGTTTTTCAGCCTCCCCTAAAAAAGAATAAAATTTTTTATGAATAAATACTTTTATATAATAACAAGCTATAAAATTACACGTTGAAATAGCTGAATAATTAGTATTTATGAAACCGCTACTTATAAGCTCGTCGAAATAACTCTAATTTATTCGTAAGAATTATTTTCATTAGTTTTTACTGATTAGCATTTGAAAGTTTCGATTTACTAATGTTAGCACGCTCGGCGAGTATTCGAGAGCTCCAGGGTTCGAGTGCCGGCGAGGGCATTGCTCATTTCACATGTTTCCTCCTGCGAAATAATCTAAGGTCTCTATAATGTTACTTTCGAGGAGAAAGATAACTTACGTTTTGTATCTGCACATTTTCCTGGCGTCAGTTCCACGTCGTCCAAAGCTATATCCCCTCTGATTTTCGTTGAAGATGCGTGCTTTGCTTTGAATATGACCTATAAAATGGATTTGAAAATATCCTATAAAACTTTTTAACAATTCTTTGTTATTTAATTTTTTTAATTAAATCATAAAAAATGTAAAAGCAAGTTTAAAAAAAATCTTAAATGTTTCAGATTTTAACGTCGCAGACCAGAAAACTAACCAGAAATTCTTTCTTCCATATATCAACTAAAATATTACCGAATTTCAAAAGGAGTTCAGTTTTCTTACCTTGTATCCTGTATCCATTGCCCCTTCATATCTGGCGGTAAAAAGAGCTTCTTTCCAGCGATCGCCTTGGGTCTTGCTGCGAAAGAAATACTCCTTAGTGTTAGAGTACCATGTACTTGTACTCTGAATGTAAACAGTCAGACTACCTATGTCTGCGCCATACATGTGATAGAAGAAGCGCACGCAGTAATCACCTCTCAGAGCTATTGTTTGAAGTTTGACATCATATGTCTTGGCTGCGCTTACGTTTACAAACAAGTAGCCACCTAGGTCTGAAAATGAAATTAGAGGTCATAAATTCATAAAATTACAGAGATGCAATTTGGATCTCTCTGTTTAGCTTAAGGCATTTCTTATTTGTTTAAAGTTTTATAATAACAGCAGGACATGGCTGTTGTTATCAAACTTAAAAAAAACATGGAGTTTACTGAAACTTAAAAGTAAAACTTAAAACAATATGGAGTCATATAATATGGACTCTATTGAAATAATCTGCCATCTGCAACTGCTTCAGATTTTAGGGGAAATGTTATAAAAATCAATTTGTTGTTGTTGTTGTCTAATGCTCACTTGTGTGACGTGAGTGAGTGAGTGAGTGAGCGCCACCAAGGAAGACCACTGACCTGGCTTTAGCCTCACAGTGTGTTATCTTCCTGGCAGAAACCATCTACTCTCTGCTCCATCCTGCTCCGGGAACGCAGCCGAATATACGGCTAAGAGCCTCATAAAGTCTACATATAAACTTGGATGTTGTTGTACGGGGAAAGAGTATCCTGTTGGGAACTACTTAAAATTAAGCAAAGAAGCAATCAAAAGACTGTTAAGAATCGCTGTTAGAATAGACAGAAACTTGCGTTAGATAAAGTAAAGATAGGAGGACTCTGCCTGAAAAATTAACTGCCGTGGATTTTCTGGACTTGCTAAATGTCTACATGCGGGTGCTTATCCTGACACAACTGTCATATATTTATGGGGCTTCTGTGAAATCGTTGTTCCTGCATGGAGGAAAGTTGTAACCTATTAAATTATTGCACATAGTAAACTTTAAAAAATAATAAATAAAAAATAAAAAAATAAATAAATAAAGAGAGAGAGATTAAAAGATGATTAAAAAAATCCTAGCGCCCAAACATAATTTAACGCAGTTTACTTTCCATGTGCCTGACTCTTAAGTAAGAACATTTAAAAGAATGTGTACCTGTTATCACTAAGATAACAAATTCCTGCACAATTTAGTTCTTTGCGCATACTTAAACTGTAGTTGTTTTACAAATTGAACCATTCACCTACATTTTCTTTCGTAGTACTTGCAGACAGGATAATACATACATAAGTACAAAACTGAATATTAAAGTGAAAAACTAACATGATACTGAGTACAGAAATACAGAAAGCTGATCCCTAATGCCTGCATACATAACACTTAAAAATGCATACATAATACATGAAAACTAAAAACAAAACTGATAAGCATAATACATAAAACTGATCATTAAGTAATGCTATGTAGTCTAAATCCTAGCCAAGTACGAACTGACCTTCATAGTACATGCAGAGAAGGAATAAATACAGACTTGAGTACTTTAAAGTGAACATAAACAGAAAAGTACAGCACCATACTCAGTAAAACTGATATCTGATTCCAAACATTTGAATACATAATGCTGATACATAATTACAAAGAGAAACTTACCTACATTAATTCCATAGTTAGTTTTATCACCTTAGAACATGCACATAATTTATACAAAACATAATTAAGCACGTAATGCTGATCACTAGGGAAGAGATTCAAACATGCAATTGATCACTTAAATACAGATATTTCTTCCCTAAAATTTACATAAAAAGTTGAATATTTATTAAAATTAAGAAGGCAAAAATGCCATAAGAATAATAATATCATTCATAAATTTAAGTTGAGGTGATAACATAAGTTGACCTTGCCCTTCTTGAACCTATTTATCACAAACTTGTAATTTAATACGATTAGTAAGTGTAGGAAAAACTCATTGCTGTTGAAGATTTTACTAGCACCATCTGGTCTTGCGAGTCCTAGACCTGTACATTAATTGCAAAAGTAAACATTTTAAAGAATATAGGCAGGTTGTTGCCATAGTCTTAATTATCTAAGTTAGTCTTGGGTTGAGAGGTTCGAGGTGTGTGCCCAGATTGATTTAGTGTGATTTATACATTTTTGATTCAGAGCGCTAAGCACTTGATTATTTCTGTTTGGGACACTTATCGTCGTATTAGAGAATACTTTCTCTGACAATGGCTGATTACCGCTTGTAGCTTTTTATTTGCTGTTTTGTTTGTTCTCATATTTGCCGCCCATTGTGGCCAGTAAGCTTGACTTGGCTTTCTTATATGGTACTGTGCCGTGTTTGTGCAGTAAAGGACGTAGTGGTCTGTATCCCCCACCTCTCCACATTGACATCTTTCTGTGTCACTCAGGCTGAATCTATGCAGATAGGTCAGGAATGGGCCATGTTATGTGCTAAAATTGGTCCGAAGAGTCACGGCACCAAAAATGTTATAGTGTTTTTTGAATTTTTCTTTTAAATTTTCCAAAGTTACCAAAAGGTACCCTACAAGTTGACCATAACATATAAAATAAAACTCAATTCAGCAATAAGATACTAGTAACAATAAAGTTGAAAATTTTGCGTTGTGTTTCTTCCGGATTAACCCTTAAAATCCATTTGAGTAAAGACTGGTAAAAATCATGAACACACAAAATAAATTTAACCATTGAATGATCTAGAAAAACTTATTTTTTTAACTATTAAAGCAAATGACTGATATATTCATTAGTTAAAAAAAAATCTAAATATATTCAACAAAAGTTGTACTATTGTTTTCACACATCCAACATTCTGAGTGAGTAATTACTTTTTCTTTTATGTATAACATCCTTGTGTAGAATTATTAAATTTAATATTGCAAGAACTGTGTAAAACATACCAAAAAAATTATACTTTAAATTTAAGAACAATACCCTCCCCGGGGGAGCAAAATAATAAATAAATAAATTTAACAAGTTACACTTTCCACTTCACACCTAATTGCTCAATACAAAAATAATATTTCATAATATTGCACTCAATACCATCATTTAAACACTATTAAAGCAAATTTTTAACCTCTCTCTCTATATATTTTTTATTAATTAAATACGGTTTTACCGGATAAAGATATGTAGTGACACCATTACACTTTTACAAACAGGTTTGTACTGAGAGGAGCAAGAATGCTCTAATACAAGCACTATTGCTAATCAACCTCACCAATGAGTAATACAAACAAAAATTCAATTAAATAATTCCTGAAGAACTTCTTTCTCAAAACTATTAAGTTAAGTTACCATAATTATAATAAGGCTATAATTCTTTAGTCAATCTGATACTTTACTTCAACTCAAACAACAGAATTAAATTCCCTAACCATTAACTATTAGAAAAGGGTAAAAAAAATCACTTAGCTGAACTTCACAGTAGCCTGGTTGGCGAGTAAGAGGCGGTGGAACTCCAAACCACTTTTCTTGAAACCAACTCTTAACACACCAAAAGAGACGTTAAGAAAAAGTTCCTGTAGGCTATGGTCACGGAATTTCTTGAAATAGTAACTTTAAAAATTTTTTTTTGAGTCCCAAAAGTCTAATAGAAAAGTTCTTGAATGCTATGGGCAAAGAATGTCCTTAATTAGAAGCTTTAAAATTTTCTTGAAAAAACCGCACTGATATCTGTTGAAGAAATTTGTTGTCGAAAAAAAAATCTTGACATTCTGGAGATAAGGACAGCATTCAGTTATCAACTAATATTTTCCCTTTTTTTTTTTCTTAGTAGGGAGCTTGAAGAAGGCACCAAATGGTCAACATTTTTAAGAGCTATTATCGATGCTTAAGTAATTAGCTATTGCAGATCATACTTTTTAAGATCTATTATCGCTGCAGTAGGAATTCACCTTATAAAGATGCCGAACATATTTCTCGGGCCGCGTGCCACGAGAAACGGCTACTGGAGCCAACATCATTAGGGTAATATCTGAAAGCCATGGCCTAACAATGGCCACTCAGAAATTTTCATCTCGAACATGGCTCCAGAAGAAAAATCAGCTGCCGGCTAGCTCCTACTTCACGGCAAGTGAAAACAGTCAAAAAAAGTGTCCTCGTCCCCCCAAAACAACCCGTTAAAAGGGAGGACGCTGGACTGCCAAGTTGGCACAACTCACTCTTCGCCAAAAGTTAAAATAGTTGCAACAACAGCATTCCCTCATGTTAGCAAACTCGCCAAATCCACCACAATGAAACCTCAACGGAAATTCTATGTCGCCAAACCCTCGCCAAAAATAACCACGCCTTGTGGAAGGGGAATCTGGAATTTCAACAACCCTACAAGCGGTCCCAACGAAAGAATGCTGAAACTCGCAAAAAGTGACTTTTCAACCGGAAAAGGGGCATTTCATCCCCCTTTACCGAAATCACAAGCAAACGAAAAAAAATCTATTAATTAAAGCTCATAACTGAAATGCAATTAAAGTTAGAAAAACGAAAGTTATGTCAAATTAAAGAGCTAATTTTTCTGCAACTAATGATATTAAAGACTAAGAAATCAAAATAATTTTTGACATGAAAAACTGAGTTTATTACGTGAAAAAATTCACCTAAATCCATTGTTTGCGTGTACAAGATTGAAGACGCAGTTCGCGTAAACTCGGAAAGCCAAAATTACACTAGAATTAATAAGCCAAAAGGAATATAACCAAACTTGTGTAGCTCAAGTTTTGAATAATTACAAATTAAAATTTTGATTTTTTATGAATCACTTAATTAAATTAAATTCGCTACACAACAGCCATGACCTGTTACACAACAGCTGTGTGATTATAAAACTGTGTCTGACTACCACTATTGCAGTTTAACTCTAGCGTTGTTTTGGGGAAGAACATATACGTTCTCCTTCCTGTATCTCCTGTGTCCCATCTGGCTTGCCATCTGTCTATCAGTTGTTTTAGAGTGATCTTTTTGAGATGAGACCTAGGTAATTTATCTGTTCTTGAGACCTCCTTTGCCGCTTCTTTTGCCAGGGTGTCTGCTTCCTCATTGCCTTTAATGCCCACTTGAGCCGGAACCCAGGTGAGGCATGGCCTTTCTGATGGTAGAAGACTGAGGAGGATTTTTCTAAGTTCTTGGACATACTGGCTTCTGCTTTTGTAACCTTTGATTGCGTCAAGGCTAGAGGCAGAATCGCTGTAAATAGTAATGTGGATA